ACGAGGTCACGTAGCAGCTGGACCCACCGTTGGGTCCGTAGGGTTCTAGGGGTTAAAGCTCAGTCAGATTGGATCTAAAGCTACTAAGCAACTCAGATAGGCTATAAAAATATTGGCAAAACCTATCAGTTTGAATTAGGCCTAGACTTTGACTGGGTCATGCTAAGTTATGGATATGCTTTGATCAGAATAATTTACTGAAGCTCTGACTGTATAGTTCTGTGATTTATCCCATCTGATTTCTAACAGGAAATTACCCTAAAAATGCCACAAAAAAAAGTTGAAAAAACAAACCATCGGACAAGACATTTTGCTTCCCATCCAGGAAGCTTTTTCAATTCAAAGTGTCTGGATTGGCATTGAATTCCAAGCTTTATAGAATACCCTGAAAAGTGCTGCAGCCATCTTGACCTAACCCCACTGAGGAAAATTATCCCATCCATCCATTTTCTGTCACGCTTATCCCAAGTGGGGTCGCAAAGGGTGCTGGTGCCTATCTCCAGCTGGCTGCAGGCAAGAGGAGGGGTCCACCCTGGACAGTTTTCCAGTCCATCACAGGGAAACACAGAGACAAACAGGAAATACAACCATTCACGCACACACTCACACCTAAGGAGATATTAGAGAAGCCAATTAACCTAATAGTCTGGAATAGTTTGCTCATGGAGAACATGCAAACTCCATGCAGAAAGATCCTGGGCCAGGAATCGAACCCTTCTTTTTGCAAGGCAGCAGTGCTACGCACAATGTAGGAAAATGATAATGACCTTGTTCCATGACTGGTATGGTGTGTTAAGTGTTTGCACAGTATTTTGTGAGACAAATAGTGTATATTTGGTATCTCCTGATCAAGCATTATTTTATATGTCATTGGATGCTCCAGAGGTGGTTTTAAGCAAATTGTAACTGGTATTTTTAATGGCTCTCTTTAACAATATCATTATTTTGACTCTAGATAGACTAATAGTTGCTCTGTATACAGACTCTCCAAACTTCGTAAACTTAAAATTAGAGTTTAGTGTCATTAAAATATTTTATTTAACTCTAAACAGCATATATAGTCAAGATGTTGTTTTTTTATTTATCATAACAAACCCTATGTGGACATTATGACCTTTGAACTTTGCAACACTCAGCAATCAAGTGACTCACAGCATAAAATAGTGCCAGACTACTAAAAACTAGTTGGTGATAAGAAAAAAAACTATAAAAAAAAAGTAAAAAAAAAAAAGGTGCTGATGCAGTGAACCATAATAATGTGATACTTTGCAAAAGTCAGGTTAGACAGGTTAGACCATTGTTTATCAGCCATGTGTTCAAAGCTGCACAGACAGGACAGATGGCCATTTGACTTTTTACACTCAGGAATGTTTATGTCACCAAACAGGATCAAGTTAAACATTGAATTTAATACACTAGCATGACATTTCATCATCGTGGAGACATCACATTATTGACTTTTCAGAAGAAGGTAGCAGTGACTTCCACCTTGGTTAGAGGACTCTGCCCTCTGACGTCACTCATAATGTTACGTGAAATATAATTTTGGGCTCGGATGGGAGGACAAGTCAATATAGATAGAACATGGTCTAAACAAACTGATTTCTGAGTGTTCTCATGCTCTCAAACAAAGCTCCACCCCTGCTTGCTAAATTTTAATGTTCACATGATTTTTTATGTGTTTGGATTTATTTGGTTTCCAGATTACCACAATACCACCTGCCTGACACACACAATCATGCACGTTTCAACTCATGAGGAGCCATGATGTATCCTTCATGTTGTGGGTGATGATCACAACACAGCAGACAAGTTTCCTCCAAAACAAGCAGCTCAGCCAGACAACTACAAATCTCACACCCATTGTGATTCATAATGGTTTCAGTTCAAAATTCTAGACCTTAAACTGGCATAAAACTGAAAGCTGTATCTGAAATTCTTTACCACAAAGACTTATTGTTATAAGGCTGCAGGTGCAACAAGTTCTCTGTTTAAAATAACTCCATAACTTGGGCAGGGTTATGAAGGAATGTGACAAAAAATTTGGACCTATATTTAGCCAGTTATATGAGAGCTTGATTAATGTCGCCTTTGTTGCACAAGCTTAGGAAATGGTTGTTATTGTTCCTGTTCCCAGAACAGTAAATGCAAAACGTGATGACTAAATAATGTTAGACCAAAAGCTCTTATGTATTTAGCATCTGTGATTTAAAAACTCATGTCTTCAGTGGCAAATCACAAGGAGCTCATGCAGTTTGCTTAGAGGAGGCTACTCTGTAATTCCTTCTGAATAAAGTAATATGGTTTAGATCAGCCTCTTGTATGTATTATCCATCTATCTTTATCTTTCCTCTAACATGTTTCCTCTTGTAACCAGGACCTCATTATTTTTGTCACTGGCCATATTTAATGACCTTATCTAAGGTTGGAATGTAGATTGGTTCATTTGAAACAAGAACCCCACTGAAAATATTTTATATAATTAAAATGTACCTCATATCCAAGCTATTTGCATTACTGTTGCTTTATACCATCACATAAACTTTATTTTGTATGTTATTAAAAAGCTCAGTAGAATTTTAGGTTTCAATTGTTCTGATCACAGGATAGTTTTCCTTGTTTTCCCACTTTTACTAAACAGTATAGGGCTCCAAAAAAAAAACAGAAGAATACCCCTCTGCATATAAGGTGAGGCTAGAATAAACTTTATTGCTCATCAAATCTAGAGGCTGGCAGCCATGAGGTTTCTGTTTGATCAAGTTGTTTCAGTTTCTCACAGGTTTTTTTTTTTCCCAAAAAAGCTGATTAATTTTGCAGGACGGGTTATTCGGTGTGGAAAATCTAGAAGCAGTGTGAGGAGTTACAGGTAAACTCTGCCTTCTACATTTTGCATAGTGGATCTATCAGTTAATAGTGACATTTGAAACTACCCGCTCACATGCAAACAAGGCTCTGGTGGCCACATGTTTTCAGAGTGTTCAGTCGTGCTAACAGGACTGTAGTAGGGAGACGGATGGACCCCCACCGCCCCTGTTTAAATATGGACGGTTGTCTGGCCTGCAGATAAGTGTAAACCGCAGAATCCTGGCCTGATAATGTTGCTGTTCTGTGTGACTGCTTTGTTTCTATGATGTTTAAACTGGCCCCAGACCTCCTTGGGTTTACCAGCTCGTGCTATGTTGCTCTGTTTGTGTTGGGGGACCAGATCTTTTGGGTGTGGGGCGTTTAAACGCCACTGGGACGTCATGTTTAGAAAATAAATGCCTCAATTTCACTGAACTCCCAGAACATATGGACTGCTGATCTGGGTCTGGGTTTGGATTTTTTGTCATTTTAATTGAGCTTAATTCAGACACTTTAAAAGGTCAATATCAACCATAAAAAAACATTTTATGAATTACTGTACATCTGGATTAATTGGTTACTCACTTCGTTATTTCTTCTGTTCCCTTTTGCATACAGTGTCCTTGCCAACAACTTAAAGTAAACTGCCTTTTAGATTATATACTTGCAAACAAGCACATCGTAGTTTTCGTAGGTCCCTGTTGTTCCTTTGAAAATTTTATACTATTGAGTCTTAACAGAAGTTTGTTCAGATAAAATTAGGAAATCGCTGAAACAGAACCTGTCATGCAACCTGGAGCAGAATAAAAGATCACCAAAAAACACAATATGTCTTGATTCATGAATGAAGTTGAAATAAATGTATTTACATCTATTAAGCTGAAGAAGGAGTTTTACGGTCAAAACGAATTACCTATGCAATTAATATAATACATAATTAGGTACATCATGTATTTATATACCTGCTTAATAGACTTAAAGTTGGATTAAAAAGCAGTTGAGAATACGAACCAAGGAGTAACACAGTAGGTTTAGTTGGACATGAGAGTGAACATGCATGGTTACAGGTTTGTCTGTGAGGGATGGAAGCAACATTTAATCCCATTTAATCTTTAGGACACCCGGTTACTTCCACAAGAGCCTCTAGGCAGCTTAAACCTCGACGTCCCTCAGATTAATGCAGCAGGCCAGAATGCCTTAGATGGCAGCTCTGTACATACAAATGTATGTGTTTAGGCTTAGACTGAGAGAAACTTTATTGTCATTTTGTATAGACAGTTATACAAAATGAAATGCTGTTTTAGACAGCTTTCAGATGAATGAGCAGCAGCTTAGCAGTGAAAAGGAACATTCCCATTCCATAAAGTGCAGCAGTGATCAAATGTAAACAGTGTGGGAGAAAAACATGGTGCAAAAGGCACTGATGTAGAAGTCCAGAAGAGTGCAAAAAAAAAAAAAAAAAAAACAAATATAGATGGTGCAAGAATGCAGTAGAAAAACATTTTTGAGTTGAGGTCTTTTTGGTATGATGTGTTTGTGTTTGGTATGATGTGTTTGGTATTTGTGTGTTTGGTATGGTGTGATGCAGTCTTGATTCGTGTTTGTGTTTGTTTACAGGTTGTCTATGGACGATTCTACTTTTTATATCTTTGTATGATGTTATGTTTGAATAACCAGGATTACTGCCAGCTCTACCACAGTGATCCTGAAAGGGAATTTTGTGAGAAATGCTTGTAAAAGTTCACAGCTGTCAATAAAAAAAAGCTTTTTCTAGGAAACAACTTTATGGATATTTGCTGTCCTTTATTCAACCGTAGCCTCAACAGTTTGATGATGAAGATGTCAGGAATTTAAATTTAAAAGGTGGGGCTTTAATCCTCTGAGAGCATTCTGACACAACAACCAACATGCAGTGACTGGAAATAAAAACAGGCTTTTAAATTTCTAATTAAAAGTCTCCAAAATCTATACGGAATTCTGGCAACTTGTCTTTAATCTGCTGAAATCTGCTTTAACCCGTTGCGATTCATAATGGTTTCAGTTCAAAATTCTAGACCTTAAACTGGCATAAAACCGAAAGCTGTATCTGAAATTCTTTACCACAAAGACTTATTGTTATAAGGCTGCAGGTGCAACAAGTTCTCTGTTTAAAATAACCCCATAACTTGGGCAGGGTTCTGAAGGAAAGTGACAAACAACTTGGACCTATATTCAGCCTGTTATATGAGAGCTTGATTAATGTCGGCTTTGTTGCACAAGCTTAGGAAATGGTTGTTATTGTGCCTGTTCCTAGAACACTAAACGCAAAACTTGGCGACTAAATGATGTTAGACCTAAAGCTCTTATGTATTTAGCATCTGTGAGTGGAAAACTCATATCTTTATTGGCCAATCACAAGGACCTCATGCAGTTTGCTTAGAGCATCTACTCATAAATACTGTAATTCCCTGTGAATGAAGCGATGCAATTTAAATCACATTTTCAGCTACATATGTGCATGTATTATTCGTGGACTTCTTTATTACACTTCAGCTGCATGTTCATTGAAAGAGTTTGTGTGTCCTGAATATCAGCAGCCTATAAAAGAGACTCCAGCGAGTCTGACATCAGGGTTCCCTCGTCATTTCTGTTCTCCAAACTCAGGATGTACTCTGATGCTTCCTTTTATGGGACAGTACATTTTTTAAGGGACAGTTGTCACCTGGACCTTTGTATCCAAACATCATGAAATAGGAATAGAAAGTTAATAACCACACCGACCACCAGATATCGCTAGTGATAAGATCAGAGGTTTTAAACATTTTCCAGGCCAAGGACCCCCGATATGGTGAGATGGAGCGGGGACCCCCTAATTTTATATACATATAGATGAAACCGTGTTACATCTAACTTGCCCTATAGTCACTCTATTACAGATGGACTAATGTAACGAAAGTAATTTCACCCTTGGATTATTAAAGTATTTCTGATTCTAAATCCTGGTTGATGGGTCAGGTGTTGTGGATGAAACAGTGCCCAGCTTGAAAGGGCTCCTGTGTGTCGCTGAATGTGTGCATTGATGACTGAAAGACATCTTCTGCCTCTGTTTATCTGTGTTGAATTCATGTTAATGAGTATTTAAAGACATTTCAATTAGTGGAAAGAATTGGGGGGGTTAAAAAATCAAATCAAGCAAAACTTTCGCCAGTTGGTGGCGATAATGCTGACCTAACGTTTTTCCAACCGCCATAAAAAAATTCAAGAAGAAAACTTTCACGAACCCCATGCAGTACCTCCATGGACCCTCTAGGGGTCGCGGACCCCCTGTTGAAGGCCTCCGACCCATAGGTAATGTGGCCAGTAGGTGTCGCCAGTGATGATACCCAGCGGTTATGGTGCTTCCGTCTTCTAACGGCAAAAGAAGTTCCTACTTCCGATTGTGAACCGCCCTGTGGTTGTATTTTGTCCCGGATTTCAACAAAAACACACATAAAGCTCCTTCTAAACCTCCGAGCTAACGCCCTGAAACCGAGGCACTGGGTTAGATGTGACGCCTCGGTGCCGAAGCAGTGAGCAATGTCGGTGGTTTTTGACGGGGGTTCGTTGAAAGGGATGCAGAGCTCTCACAGCCACACAGCTCCGAGCGCCCTGAGGTAAGAGGAGCCCTCTGCAGACAGGACTATGGAAGCACACAGCTTCTCTGTCAGGAAGAATCCTGGAAAAGAAAGGAAAATATGAATGTGGAGAACAGCTTTACTAGCAACCTGACTGTATTTAACAGGTTTCTGTTATTTTTTTGTAGCTCAACAGCTGAAAGACACTTTATTCTGCCCAGAAGGGCAGTTAAAGTTACTTTAACGCAGCTGTGCAAATAAAATAATTTACTAAAATGTGAACAATGTTAACCATATAAAATACATTACTAGATAGAAAGTGAACCATTAGATTAAAAAAAGAGTTGGGAGGATAAATGATATTTAGAAGCACATTTACTCTATTTTTTAATGAAGAATAAAAACAGAATTATGAATAAACTAAGGATTAGATATGGATTTCGTTTAATAGTTTTTAACAATCTAAAAAGTATATATAATTCATGAAGAATTAATGTATAATCCTGCATCCATATGCAGTCTCTGCTGCAGTTCCTGCTTCACAGATGTTGGGGAATTTCTCTACCTGGTTTGAAAATTTAAATTTAAAATAGTAGCTGATTCTTTAAAATCATTATTAAAGAGCATGAAGAGAAGGGAACTATATTTAATAAAATGCACCGATCCAATACTTTGATCAGACATCACATTATTTATTTGTTCTTGTTGCTTATTTTTTAATAAATCATATAAAGTAAATTTATATCTGTGTTAGTTTATTACAATTTTTAAGAATGTGTATGTCAGGGCCAAAGCTTTCGCTCCCATGGGAAGATTTTTGTTCATTCATTGTAATCTAATCCAGATTTTTCATAATCCCTTTAAATATAACACAAACTCAGTGTCCTACTGCATTTTGCACCATGTTTATTTCTTTCACACTGCACCCACCCTTTCCATATCAATGCCTTTTGCACCATGACTTTAAACTGCTTTTCTTTTCTCTTAAAATGTTTACATTCTGATCACTGCTGCACCTCATAAATGGAAATGTTAATTTCACAGTTGTCAGCTGATCATTCACTTTTGAAAAGCTGTATGCATCTAAATTTTGTTTTGTATGCAGTCTGTATATACAGAATGACAAAGGTTTCCTAAGTCAACTAATGAATCTGATCTGATATCGCCATATGCTTAGCACTGGTATCAGTATAGGATTGGATTGTAAAAAATTGGATCGGTGTGTCTCTGATATTTCAAATGGTTGAAATATATTTGCTACTCTTATTTTCCATCTTTCTGCTCCACCTCACATTTTGAATGGCAGAAATGCAGCCCTTGTTCATTCAGTGAGCCCCTGGGCAGCACATTGGAGTGCCCTGAGACCTAACTTTTACCATTTTATTTATGATTACATGTCTTAATTGAGGAGAAAGCTCTTTCTAACACATTTACTTACATTAATTGCTGCAAACTTTAGTTGAAGCTTCATGGCTTTGCTTTTACATAAGTGAAATAATTAGTGTGCAAAATAGGAGCTCTCTGAAGACCTTTGGTTGCATACTTTTTATTTTGGGGTGTCAGAGTGAAGTTAGGAATACAACCCCACGTCTTTTAGTCTTTAAGTTGAAGGAAAACAAATATTATATTGAAAACATTTCTTCAGGGTGCTGTGTTTATCAGAGGTTAAGCATGCATGATGTAGGCGTCTGTCATGGGTTCCAGCTGCTTTTCTTTGCCCTATTTCTACACCCATTCCCTGTTTGCCTATTTTCAGAAATTAGCAAAAATTAAGGGCACTAGAGTCTTAAAAAAAAAAAAAAAACCTGCTTCAATTTAATTTACAATAACATAGAATACTATACTTTCCATAAGTTTGTTTTACAAGTGCAGTACCCTGGAAGAGTTAGTTTTACGTGTTTCTGTATTTTGTCATTTACTCTGGTAGTTCATTGAGGCCTGTCTATGTGGGTAACCTTACATTTCTTTCTCCTGAGCAACAGCTCATCATCTCCAACATACTCTAGCAACCTGTCCCCCTCTCATTCCCTCCTCTCCTTTGCAGTGCCCAGGAACTTTCTCAGGAGATCAAGTCTTTCATCAGCGGCGTCGATGCCATTCAGGGCCGGAAGCTCAGCGTCAGGGAGCACGCCCGCTGTGCCGTGCGGCTGCTGCGCTGTGTCCCCGCCTGCAGGGGGGCGGTGCTGGAGCATCTGAGGGGCGTGTACGACGAGCACGTGTCCATGTTTCTGCACAACCTTGAGACAGAAGGAAGTTCCAGTTCTGGGGCCACATCTAACCTGGAGGACATCATACAGGTGAGACTTCATCCAGGAATATTAGGCAGTCCTAATCTCATCTAATCATGTTCTTTATCAGTTATTGATAAATAGCTAATAGAGAAATAGATGGGAAGAAAAATGTGTTTAAAAGACAAACTGCCTCCAAATTAACTTTAACTACACATCCTTGTGCTATTACACCATTACCAACTACAGTAGTTGGTTCTTTTAGTTCCTAAACATAAATATTATTGTCTAGTTAAATTTCTGTAGTGGATCTCAAGACCTTTTTTTTCGTGAATCATTCTTTTTACTAAATCTTTGCTCCTCTATAGGAGGTTCATGGCGTCCTGTCAGAGTTCATCCGTCTCAACCCGCGAGCCTGGGCCCCGCTGGTGTCCACCTGGGCGGTCGACCTTCTGGGCCAGCTGAGCAGCAAGCATGCGGGCCGCAGGGTGGCGCCCCATTCCTCCAGCCTCAACGAGCTGCTGCAGCTCTGGATGTCCTGCGCCGCCACGCGGTCCCTGATGGAGGCCTACTCCCAGTGTCTGGCCGCCATGCTGGCCTGGTGTCCTGACGCCTGCGTCGACGCCCTGCTGGATACATCGGTCAAACACTCGCCTCATTTTGACTGGGTGGTGGCTCACATCGGCTCTGCCTTCCCGGGAACCATCATCAGCAGAGTGTTGGCCTGTGGGCTCAAGGATTTCTGCTCCCACGGGGCGAAGGATCAGGGGCTTCTGGCGGAGAAAGGGAGCCGGGTGCCGAAGATCGGCTCCGTTGTGGGAATCCTGGGGCATCTGGCAGCACACCACTCTGACAGCATCAGGAAGGAGCTGCTCAGGATGTTTCAGGAGAGCTTGATTCCATCCACCCCTCTGTCTCCCACTTCCTCCTCATCCTCCTGGGAAGCATCCCCTCAGCTTCGGCGTGCCGCCGTTCCATTCCTGCTGCAGCTGGCTGCCCTGTCCCCTAACCTGTTTGGCGCCGTGTCGTCAGAGCTGGTGGAGCTTCTGCGGCCTCCAGTCCTGCTCCAGCTGCAGTCTCTGCTGCAGGGCCTCCCCCGAGAGGAGCTGGATAACATGCTGGGGCTGGCCGTCCACCTCATCAGCCAGAGTCCCACAGGGGGAGCTCGAGTCCTCAAATTTCTGGCAGACACGGCAACGCCGGCTTCAGTCATCATCTCCGGTCCTACGCCGTCGCCTAACGAAGGGGTGAGGGAAGGCTGTGACCGCCTCCTCCAGATGTTGCTACTACATCTTCACAAACTGGTGTTTAACCGCTCCGACGCGGCAGAGGCCGGCCTTGTGGGCTCGGCCTCCTCTCAGCCACAGAGGGTCACCCCTTTCTTAGAGGAGCTGCGTTCACACGTCGGCCAGCTGTGTGCAGAGACACTGCGGCTGGAAAGAAAGCGCCACCTCTGGCTGCACCAGCTGCTGTGCCTCCTGTCAGTGTACGGGGGTCCCAGTGTAGCCACTGAGACCCTCTGCCAGCTTCTAACCCAGGCTCGAAACCCGGAGGAGTTGGCTTTGGCCTGGCAGCTCCACACAACGCTTTCCTCCTGCATGGCCGGGCTCATTCCTGCCGCCGTGGCTCACTGCGTGGCTCAGATTCACACGCACACGCTAGAGCCCCGGCAGCTCCGGCAGCTGCTGCTCAACTTGGCTGCAGCCATCCAGAGCCAGGATGAAGAGAGGAAAGGAACAGCGGGAGGCCAGTCCTCCATGGCCGTCCAGATCGGCTTAGCCGTCTCTGGGCACCTCCATGATTTTGGCCCTCTCCTCCTCCACGGTGACCCAGCTGTGTCTAACGCCACGGTGCGCCTCCTCTCCTGCAGCCCCCTCCCTCGAACCTCCTCCCCTGCACACCTGCTGCTGCTCTCCCGAGCATCCGTCACTCATTTCTTCTTGGCGCTGCGTAGAAGAGGGGAAGCGAGGAAGGCGGGCAGAGACATGGGACAGACGGGCGAAGCCGTGAGCTGTTCGGTTCTGCTCCTGTCCCGCTTTGCAGCCTACTCGCCTCTCACTCTGAAGGCCATCCTTCAGCAGCTTGTGGAGGGAGCGCTGCACAAAGGCAACGCTGACCTGTTTGGTGGGCAGATCGCCGACATGTCCGGGGCTCCGTTGGCCTCTCCGTCTGTGTCCTCCGACCTGGGAGCCTCTCTGCTGGACATTAACTGTCGGTTCGGCACCACGGTGAATTTCTCTGGCAGCGTGTGGTCGGTGTTCCACGCAGGAGTGATCGGAAAAGGACTGAAGGTTCGAACAGCTGCCAATCAGCCCGATCCATCAGGAGTCATCCAGGTGGGTTGTTGATGAAAGCTCATAGAAGTTATTTTTATTGTAGATAAACATATTTATTTTGAGCTTTTAATGATAAACTCAATTTATTCTGGAAACTTGAACAACATGCTGTATTCAGAGGATAAAAAAAAAAAAAGAATTTGCTGCAATAATTTAGATTTATGGTGGGTTTTCTTTTCACCACATAAGCCCAACTATATTCCCACTAGATCAATAGTAATTTGGCAAATGTTACTCAGCAGGTTGCAGCGAGCTAAACGAGCATTGTTAAAAATATATATCAACTGTTATAGCAGGGCTGTGTTGACCTGTTGAATCTGCTCCAAAACCACATCTGATCTAATAAGGAGCACCTGCTGAAGTAGTTCTCCTTCATTATTCTGTCCATGTTGTTCAACGCAGGAGGCAGAACAACCCCACAGTATGAAGGTACCACCACCGTGCTCCACAGCTGGTGGAGTAGTCTCACAGTTTTGAATAAAACTATTCATGTACCTACTGGGTGTATATAAACTTTTTTAGTATCCCTTGGTTTTATGTCAGTAAAGCAAATGATTAAATGTAATTAGCAGGGAATGAAATAAGCTGTTTAAAGAGTTTGTTTTCTGGTCTCTCTCTGCAGAACATCCAGACTCTGCTGGCCGTTTTAGTCCAGTGCTGCAGCTCATCCAGCCTCAACGGCTCACAGTCCCCATCTGACCCCGGCGAGCCACTACCAATTAACGCAGAGGCAGCCAAAGTTGTTGCAGTCACGCTGGTGGAAAACGTCTGTCCAGATGTGGCCAATGGGGAGCTGTCCTGGCCCCCAGAGGAGCACGCCCGCACCACAGTGGAGCGAGACATCCACATCAGACGGTGCTTTGAGGCCCACCCGGTCCTCTTCCCTCTGCTCCAGGTGGTGGCGGCTGGACGCCCTGCTCTTTGCTATTGCTCAGCTGTGCTCAGAGGCCTCCTGGCCACTCTGCTGTCCCACTGGGAAGCTTCCCGCGAGGCTTCATCTAAAGACTCTCCCTGGCACCTGCAGGCTTCCTGCCTCCTGGTGTCCTGTATGGGAGAGGGTCAGCTCCTGCCGCCAGTGCTGGCAAACGTCCACGAGGCTTTTGCCTACCTGAACCCGTTTGAGGTGAGGCTGCTGCTGCTGGCTGTGTGGGAATACGTGAGGGGCAACGGGCCGCTGCCTCAGAAGTTTGTTTTCAGCCCAGACAAAGGCATGTTCTGCAGGGATTTCTCAAGGGACGGCGATGTGTCCAGATACGTGGCCCCGATCCACAGCGTCCTGCATAAAAACATTGATAGACTGGGACACCTGTGCTGGAGGTTTCAGCTGTGAAATGGTGATGATTCAAGTCTATAGTGACTGTAAAACTGGGAGATTACGGTCATTTCACTTCAGGAGTGGACTGAATGTTCATTAATGTGGGACTGTGTGAATAAGTTTGTGTTTATATTTTCATTACCTTTGCTTTGGCTTCTGAAAGTAAACCCTGTCATATTGCTTAATTCTAAAATATGTTGATGCAAAACTAGGTTATAGTCTTAATTTGTCATTTTGGATCAGAAGAAACACTTATGTTGTTTTTGTTGCAAAATACGGCTTCCATCTATTGTCATAAACAAACTTGTTTAAATCGTCTTGCAAAATAAATCTCCATTTAGTCCTAAAAAAGTTGCTGAATAAGTGCTTTCTTGCTGCATCGTCAGGAGGTACCGGAGATCATCAGAGCTATTAAATAAACTGTTTCACTGATTTTTCATGCTTTTTATCCCTTAACAGAGAGAATCAGAGAGAAAGTGAGCAGGAAAGCTAACATAGTTAATAAAAATAAAAATAAAACATAGCAATCATTCAGGACTACATAGCTTTCATTTAAGAAGCTGCTTTAGTTTTAGCCTAAATTTATGTCAGATTTCTGTTCTGGTTCTGCAGGTAAGGAACTCCTCATGGTAACCTCTTTAAAAAAAGGCACTTTTAAAGTTCCCAGTGAAGAATAGCAGTGAAGCAGATGCAATGTCAATAACTACATACAAACATCACTATAAGCATATATAGATATATGTGTTTGTATATAGAGATATAGATATATATATATATATAATGTAGCTTCTCTACTATATTTAAAAAATTTAACTATTTTAATTAATCTTGGGAATTTTATTTCTAAAAAATAAATCAGTGCCTTTTTAAAAGATTTAATACACTTTTTTTCTGATTACATGCTTCAAAGTTTTAAACAACATTTGAACTTTTAAGCTATTACATTGACATGAAAATAGAATAGAACAGAAAATCCCTTTATTGTCCCACAATGGGGAAATTCTGTAAAAAAGCAAATCATTGCAGAAAATAAACATTTCAGTGAAAACCGCAGTCTAACAGAAGGGCTTATAAGGTTATTCTGGGATTGTAATAAAAAAAATATATATATATATAGCGGCAGTTGATAATGAGACAAAACTATCATAAAGAAATATACAGAAAACTGTAAAATTGGAAAATTATAAGAATTGTTTGAGAGTTAAAGGTGTTTGGGGTTCAAACAGCCTTTTTTCAATTTGTCTCTAAATACTGATTGAACAACTTTCTATCTTTAGTTACAACACCATCTATCATCAGCATACAGCAGCAAACAAGGATGCAAAGATAATTTTCTTTACAAGCTACAAAGAACTGAGCCTTAAGGTACATTTTCAATTCTTTTTTAATCAACTCGTTTAAGGATTTCAAGGTGAGGCTTCATAGGGGAAATGAAATGCAGCTTTAATAGGAGATACCACAAAGTTAAAGTAATTAAAAAAATAATGAGGAATGGGTAAAAATAAAGAGCTGAAATCGAAGTGTCAGTTTGACATATAGGGTTTATTTCTGTCTTAATTATAAGCAATGTTTTTAGTATGACTTGGTTGCACCGCAGTAAACTGTAATGTTTACAATAAAACGCCATAATGGTGTAAGATAAATCCTCCTTAAGAAATCCGGGATGAAAGCATCCGCTTCCTGAGTGGATCTTGGAGGTGACGTGTCCGTGCCTGAGAGGGTAAATATTTAAAGTTCTCAAACCTGCTTCCTTTCACATTTATTAGCAGAGTTTAAATATTCATCTTTTTTTTTTTGGTTAACCTTCCCTCGCGCTGTTTATTGCCGGTTGAAAAAAAAAGCACTTATTTTTAGGTCAGACGCTGAGAATCTGTCTTTTTAAACGATCTTTGTTGCGGAGTGAAAGGGGGCGGAGCCAAGCGGGATCTGAATCGAGATGGCCACCTTCACTGAGAGGTAAGGATGAAGCGGTTTAGCTCTTTTATCGGTTATTTATCACCGCTTTGATTGAGTATTCATGTCTTGGTTGATATGGATTATAAATACTAGTCTACTGTTAGTATTGCAGTAGTCGGTCAAAGGTTTAAACGCGTAGAGGATCAAAAATACTAACGGGAAAGTCTCGACCTCCGTTTCAATTGAATTAGCGGCTCGGCAGGATGTTAGCAGGGTTAGCATACTGTTCTGATTTAAAGGGATAATTTACCTAAAATGAATGCCATATGTGTGTTTTTCATAAACATACCGTCTGATAATATTGTGGTTTGTTTCTCTTTGTCTTGTATTTAATTTCTAACGTGTTTGTTTGAGTTAATATAAGCGCAGAATCACTTTAGCAGCCTTTAGCCGCTGCGTTAGCTAATACGCTGCTGGCAGCGATCCAAATACGTTAATTTACATCAGGAAGATTTGACAGCACTCAAGAGAAGCCTTCTAAGATGTTTCGCAATTTGAAATTCATAAGTAAAATTTTTTTTATAATGGTAAATTGAAATTGTAATGTTTTAACAACCTCGGATTTAAGGCTTTATTTTACAACTAGAACGAGCTCAAAGTTCAGCTGTATGTTGTGTACAGATTAACAACTCATCCTCAGGTTTGTAAAGAGTCCCCCTTGGGTAATTATTTGGCTATTGCACAATCAAACTGGACCGTGTGTACTGGAGATGTTCATGATGTTCTGTTTCCTCTGCAGGATGGGGCCTGTCTTGTTGTTCTGGCTGGGCTTGTGTCTCAGTGGGACCTGGGCTGTGGACAAGGGCAATTTCAAGACCTGCGACCAGAGTGCTTTCTGCAAGTGAGTGAAACGTGTAAACGTCACACTTTTACTTTAAGGCTTTTTTTTTTATTTTTTTTTTTACTTAAATTCACATGAATGCAAACTTGTAACTAATGTTAATGCCTGTTTTTTCACCTTTAACCAGGCGTCAGCGAGCAATAACACCTGGTGAGTCCCCTTATCGGGCCCTGCTGGAAACAATGGAGCTGACCAACACCAAGCTCACCTTGCAGCTCATCAATGACAATAACAAGGTAGGTTATGGGTAGGTAAGGGACACACTGACTTGGGTTCTCTCAAAGAAAAGTTGTTAAAACTGATACCTTTGCAGACATGTTTTTTTGGAAATTGGGCCTAAAGTAATTGTGAATAGGGCGTTGAGGTTAATAGCATTTGCATGCTATTTGCAGAGGCATAAAATTTTGGTTGTATTACATTTAACAAGAGTAAGTAGCTAAGTTTCTTACTTCAGCCCTTTAGGTGGTGGTATTATGCTTAAAGTGAGTTTGCAACCAATTCCATTCAGTTTATTTATATTGCGCCAATTCACAACACATGTCATCTCAAGACACTTTACAGTTCACCAGATCATACAGTCAAATTTATTCAGTTTTCTATCTAAGGAAAACCAGTTGATTGCATCGACTCATTGACTCGAATGCAATCCCTCACACTAAGCATGCTTGTAGCGACAGTGGAGAGGAAAAACTCCGTTTTAACAGAAGAAACCTCCAGCAGAACCAGGCTCAGTGTGAGCGGCCTACTGCCGAGGCTGACTGGGGTTCAAGGAGACATAAGCAGAGATGTAAAAAGCATCTGTAAAAGGCCTCCGCATCCAGGAAAAACACAGCCAGGCAGACAAGCTCTGAGCCAACTCCCATGTCGGGGGATAAGGAGAGCACATCGAGCCAGTCACAGTCAGAAAAACAGGACTACACTGAAAAACAGGCCAATCTTGAACATCTATAAACAAGGGTGTTGATTACAGCAGCACTGGTAATATTCTCTCCAGGATGGAGTCACAGCCAAACAGGAACAGACAAGGCGAAGCTACTATGAGAAAAAGCAGAGAGCATAACGTTAGAGATTGAACTAACAGATTCTGCAGATTGGGAGAATAGAGATAGAATGTTGAAAAAGGGGTCCCTATGTCCTCCTGAAGTCTAAGCCTATTGCAGCATAACAAACTACACAAAATAGAAGACAGATGCAGTTAGCATGGAGATCATGCATGCTGGGTAGTAGAGGTAGTCCCATAAAAGGAGTTCAATCCAAAGCCACCCTTCCCACATACAGTTGTGTTCGAAATAATAGCAGTGCCTTTAGAAAAATGAGTAAATGTCAAAATTCATCAAAGAAATTGTACTTTAATGAACACAGATACATTGGGGACACAGTACATTCTATTCCAAAGCAAAACAATTGCGCAAAGTCATCAAAACTTAAATAATAATAAT